GAGAGAGAGAGAGAGAGAGAGAGAGAGAGAGAGAGAGAGAGAGAGAGATTACTCCAGACATTTAGAAGGAAAAGAGGAATAACAAGCAAGAAGGCAGAGAGGAGAAATAAGAAACCAGAAAAGCAAGTGGAGGAAAGAAAGGAGGGAGAAGAGATGAGAAAAATCGGGGTGGTGATTGCGGTTTATAATTTATTCCCTTGCCTGGTTCAAGACCAAGTCCCTGGCTTCGAAAAGATCTCAAAAGCAACTTGTTGGAGAGGAATCCCCCAGAGGGTCCCCTAGCAGACATTTGTCCACTTTGTCCCGCCTCAGTTCTGCTCCTCCTGCGTGGCGTGGCGTGGCGTGGCGGTCTTCTAGTACCCGGTATGGACTCCAGCACCTATCGCTTTCCCGCACCACCTCTCCTGTCCCCGCACCAAGCTCGGAAAGCAAGAGCTCTAGGAGCCCAGGTCCACAAGGTTGGCAGACATGGGATTGAGTATGGAGTCCTGTAGGCTGTGGTGGTGCTGCAGTGGGTCCGTGCCGCCTCCACCCGGCACTGGCACGGGTACTGCGCTCGGGCCGGGAGGGTGGCCCAGGCTGTGCAGGGAGGGCAGCCCAGGGGGCGGAGGAGGGCTGAGCAGCAATGCGGGACTGGACGACGAGTGGTCTGGCGTCCCCGACGGCGTCTTCTCATCCTCGGAACTGCCTAGCACCGACTTGCCGCTGCCGTTGAGCGAGGAAACCAGCGGGTTGTGGCTGCTGGAATTGGAGTTCTCGCTGTTCTCCCTGCAGGCGCAGGAGCAAAGCAGTGGGGTCAGTGGGAAAACGAGGCCACTTCGAGCGCCACCCCTCAGGACTTCAGCGCCTGGGGCTCGACTCAGTGCCACCGAGGTTGCTAAAGGGTGTTTTCGATTTCTACCATTTCTGACGCTCCGCGTTTGGTTTCCTGTGGCGCTCTGAACCTCGCGACTCTCTAGCCTTCTCTTGTCCTTTGCCCCGTTATCAATCTATGCTCTTAATCTCATGACTACCTTTCTGACTCTCTCTATATGTCCCGGCCTAGTCTCCCACCCCATCTCTCCCCTCGAGCAGAGTCACCAAGCAGGGTGCCAGGAATTGGGTGAATGAGGCTGGATTTTCAGATCACTTAGGCTGGACAAACTAGGTTTGCTGGGTAGAAGTAAGGGCAGAAGTTCCAGGTACGGAGATCCCAGCTCTAGAGGCCCACTTGGAGTTGGCTAAGCACGGGCCTCCTTTCCCTTTTGCCTTTCTCAGCGGGAGGGTAACTCCTGGTTGCAGATAGGCGTGGGTGGGTTGGGGGCTCCTGAGAATTCGTTCCCTGATTCTAAACTGAGCAGACTCTGTGAGCTCTATTTGACTGGGCATAAGGATCAGACTTTGAGAACGGAGGACTTCTCCCTAGCCATCTGCTGAAAAAAATTTAGCAAGGGGACTAGAAGCTCAGAAGGGAGAGCAGCCCCTGGAGAAAGAACGAGTGATTAATGCTGGCCTGGATATTTACGTCATAACCAGAAACCCGGGGACACAATCTGTAGCCCTCACCTGGGGCCTGGTCAGAAACCCTAGCTGAGAGCCTGTACTCGGTGCCAGCCTGAGAGTGAACCCAGCAGCGAGAGTCCTCCTCCTGCCCTACTTTTGTGGACAGTCCCCGGCGGGGTGTATTTGAAATCCTGAGTAAAATCTCTTTGTGGATTCCTAGCAGCTGTTCTGTCTGATTTCTTGAGAGAGCATCTATGTACCCGACTAGCGAGACTTCATCACCACAAAAAGTCCGACGTCAAGGTTTCAAATACCCAGATCCACTCTGCCGTTTGCTCGTCTTTCCCACTGTCCCCCTTACCCTGGACTAGGGTCATTCAAACTCTGTGTTGAACACGTCCCACACCGCCTAACCGTTGTTTTGCCGCGAAGGAGGGATCCTGTTCCCATTCCCTGTTTCTCTCCAGTTCAGATTAAAGTTCGAAGCGGGTTGCAGGGCCTCCACGCTTAGGTTAGTCCCGCAAAGTCTTGGATTCCGAGGGAAAATACAACTCCCAGCCCTTGGCATATCTCAGTTTACCTTACACACCCGACTTGCCCATCAAAGAGAACAGGACCCGAGTAGAGAAAGGTCAAGGGTTCTGGAAAGTCTTGGAAGGCTTGCTGGATTCAGCAGGCCAGAAAAGAGGTTTGTGTTTGTCTTCTCTCCCACGGCTGACACTTCCTCCCGGGGGCCCTTCATCTCTCGGTCCTTTCCACGCGGGATAATTCCCAACTGCCTTGTCCTCAGTCATTGTCTTCATTGCTCGGATAATTCTAGGAGGTTCCAATCCCAGCTGTGACTCCTTAAAAAGCACTTTGACCTAGAGGTGACATCTGAAACCATCGCTGATCCCCCATACCCTTGGTTGTTCGAGGAAGAGCAGGCCCTGAGCCTATACCTACCTTGCAGGGGCATCCAGGCCTACACCCCTGCCCTCTCTGAAACTATTTTTCCAATCTAGGCCATCCACAAGGGACTAGGGAATTAGTTGAGAATGTAAGCACTACTTTGCCCGCTTTAGACAAATTCCTGGCCGCTCAGACTCCAGCAAGATCTAAGCGCTGTTTTGAGCCAGGCTGGGCTGCAGCCGGGGGCGTAACCTGGACCGGGGTCCAGTTTAATCGTCTCCAGGAGCACACCATCCCCCGAGCCTCGGGACCAGGGAAACCGGCGCCGATGCTCTACTTACTCGTACCTTTCCTTGGCCTCGGCCGCCCGGTCGCGCTGCCGCCGGTTTTTGAACCAGTTGCTGACCTGCGTGGTGGTGAGGCCGGTGGCCTCCGCCAGCTCTCGCTTCTCCCGCGGCGACGGGTAGGGGTTGTGCGCGTACCACTCGCGCAGCACGCTGCGACTCTTCTCCTTGAAGCAGTAGCTGGTCTCCTCGCCGTCCCAGATGGAGCGCGGCAGCGGGAACTTGCGTCGCACGCGGTACTTGCCCACGGCGCCCAGGGGCCGGCCGCGCAGTTTCTCTGCCTCGATGTAGTGCGCTTTGAGCCATAGCTGCTGCAGCTTGGCGTGGTTGTGCGGCGAGAACTGATGACTCTCCAGGATCTTGTAGAGCTCGCGGAAGTTGCCCCGGTGGAAGGCCACCACGGCCTTGGCCTTGAGCACGCTTTCATTCTTGTGGAGGTGCTCGCAGGCGGGCAGCGACCACAGGAAGCGACCCAGTCGCTCAATGTTGCCGCCCTGCTGCAGCACCTCGCACACGCACGCCACTTGCTCCTGCGTGAAGCCGAAGGTGGGCAGCATGGACATGGTGCCGGCTGCGCGCTCGCCCGCCCGCCCGCCCGCGCGCTCTCACCGAGCCTCGCGGCCCCGCATGGGCGCCTATCCCT